GGAGACGAGCTCTTTAATTAACCCTGCAGAATCACAGCACTGAAAACAGGCCCCGGTCCGTGAATAACATCAAGTACATCCACCGTCTGTAAGGTGTGTGTGTGTGTGTGTGTGTGTGTGTGTGTGAGCAGCCTCATGCCAGAGCAGGACATTTTATTTTTTCATTAGCTGCAGCAAACTGCTGGGGGATGAAATTTGCTAACAGGAATTAAAAGTGCGTTAATGCATCTGAGAGATTCATTTCTGCTAATAGTTTTATTAGTGCTGAGGGGTGGGGGGTGGATACAGAGAGCAGAGAGGCTCTTGGGATTCTCTTTGTTCCAGTGGACCAAAGTCACATGACAGTAGAGGAGACCTGGTCCACCTCAGGGGTCACTGACCCTCGGGCTCAGTTCACAGATCCCTAATCTAAACGGGTCACATTGACCTTCACCTTTGACCTTTAGATTTGTTTTATTTTGCCACATTCCCATTTAAACCTGACGCCCGGTCCCTGAGAACGTGGTCTGGCAGGACCCTGGTCTGTGGAGGGTCCGGGCCTCTGGTCCGATCAGTCAGATAGTGTTTACCTTAGTAAGGAGGGAAGGTAAACAGGGATTGATGTTGTTTTCTCCTGTTTTATTGGAAAACAAGTGAAGCAGTTACAGTGTCGTCTGCTGGGCCCCGCTCCCTATAATTAGCACCTTACAGAAATGGAAGAACATTGATGAGAAGGTCAATAATCCTGATCTATAGTCAAATTAATCCTGCTATCGACACAACAGGCCAACAATACAATTAGGAGCAGAAGAGGGAGCGGAGCAGGGCTGAGGAATGACACGGGTTTATCTCCAAGGTTCACTCTGCAAAAATCCTTTTAAGGTTTCTAATTAATTCATCCATTGTTAATGAAGGCAAAGTGAGGAAGCAGGGATTAAGGAGGAGGAGGAGGGTGAGGAGGAGACAATTAGAGATAGCAGCCTGATGATTTCTTCTTTAACTCCTGTTATTTCTGCTTCACTTAGTTTAACTTACATGTATTGATGACTTATAAAGGACTTGAACCTCCTCTGTGTGCTGCCACATGGAACAGCGTCAACGCTGCACCTTTAGCTTCAGCAGAGCATTTTCTACTGAAGCGCTTTATGTGGGTTTTGGACTCTGGACCTCAGCCGGGTCCGAGACAAAGACGGAGACGGAGCTGCTGTTAGTGATGACTCGGCTCTTCTGATGTCCTCGAACAACATCCCATAATCATCAGTGGTTGGAGGCCATCAGTTAGAGATGGGCTTTGAACCCATGAGCTGCCTGCTGTTAGACCAGAGCCCTGACTTTTTATACAACAACAACAACAACAAAAACAACAACAACAACAAAACACAACAACAACAACAACAAAACACAACAACAACAACAAAACACAACAACAACAACAAAACACAACAACAAAAACAACAACAACAACACCAACAACATCAACACAAACACCATCAACAACAACATCAACAACATCCCATAATCATCAGTGGTTGGAGGCCCTCAGTTAGAGATGGGCTTTGGACCCATGAGCTGCCTGCTGTTAGACCAGAGCCCTGACTTTTTATACACAATGTAACAACAACAATAACAACAACATCAACAACATCCCATAATCATCAGAGGTTGGAGGCCATCAGTTAGAGATGGGCTTTGAACCCATGAGCTGCCTGCTGTTAGCCCAGAGCCCTGCCTTTTTATACAACAACAACAACAACAACATAAACATCAACATCAACATCAGCATCAGCATCAGCATCAACATCATCATCATCATCATCATCAGCAACAACACCAACATCAACATCAACATCAGCATCAGCATCAGCATCAACATCATCATCATCATCATCAGCAACAACACCAACATCAACATCAAAAACAACAACAACAACAAAACACAACAACAAAAACAACAACAACATCAACAACATCCCATAATCATCAGTGGTTGGAGGCCCTCAGTTAGAGATGGGCTTTGGACCCATGAGCTGCCTGCTGTTAGCCCAGAGCCCTGCCTTTTTATACACAATGTAACAACAACAACAACAACATAAACATCAACATCAACATCAACATCAGCATCAGCATCAGCATCAACATCATCATCATCATCATCATCAGCAACAACACCAACATCAACATCAAAAACAACAACAACAACAAAACACAACAACAACAACAAAACACAACAACAAAAACAACAACAACATCAACATCACCAACACCATCAACAACAACAACACCAACAACATCAAAAACAACATCATCAACAACAACAACAACCACAACATCAACATCAACATCATCAACAACAACATCAACATCATCAACAACAACAACAACAACATCATCATCAACATCAACGTCAACATCAACAACAACAACACCAACACCAACAACAACAACAACTTCAACAACAACAACAACAACACCATCAACAACAACAACACCAACAACAACACAAACAACAACAACAAAAACAACAACAACAACAAAACACAACAACAAAAACAACAACAACAACAAAACACAACAACAACAACAACATAAACATCAACATCAACATCAGCATCAGCATCAGCATCAACATCATCATCATCATCATCAGCAACAACACCAACATCAACATCAAAAACAACAACAACAACAACAAAACACAACAACAACAACAACAAAAACAACAACAAAACACTATCTCCCCACTGACCAGTCCAACCATGGTCACATGGTCACATGGTCACATGGTGGGACTGGGACTTTCAACATCAGTCGTTATCAGTTTAATCAATAGAAACTGTGATGAAATAATCAATGATTATGGAAATTGTCTGCCATCAGGATTTTAGAACATGGGAACAGCAACAGGAAGCTCCGTGCTGTCGGCCCAGTGCAGACAAGCGGGGGCGCTGTTCCAGCAGAGTGACTTTCACTTCCATTTCCAGGGAGAGAGGTCTGGTGTCGGGAAGAAGGTTCATCTGAGCATCACAGGGCCAAGAAGTATTGCCTTTCAAGAATTATGAGCTATTAAATCAAGCCTGGAAATCTCAAGGTTCCCCAAGACTGCTGCACAAGGAATCTGGACTGGAAAAATATTGTTTATAGTTTAAAAGGCCTGGTGATGGATTTATAAAAGAAACATTCATCATTGCAGGAAAACGGAACAAAACATTCTGGAAATAAATACTCACTCTATAGGTACACTTGTCAACCAGACAGCACAATAACAAGTGAATTGGGAAGGAGATCTTT